CCCTATTTGAGATAATGCAATATATCTTGCATTATGGTTACAATCATATGGCTTTTGTTACAATAACAAAAGTAAGGTTTGTGAATATATTGATTTTAACTGGCAAAAGTTCTATATGTTCAACCAGAGATTTTACTTTAACCCACTAGCAAACCCACCCACGTAAATATTGACTCTCAATGTTCAACCTGCTATAACTCACACTATGTATGCTCTGCCATAATATATGATGACATTATCACAAACAAATCAGAGAATAATGCAACAGTGAGAGATGAAATTTATTGGGTGGGTTTAAGTGTGTTGAAGGCTAAATGTTTAAAGAGAATAGGAAGTACAAAGAAATGTATATTTACAATCTGAAATTTCTGGGGCACATAATAATGAAAGATGGTTTAGGATATATTGATGGCAAGAGAAACAGGTGGAAACAGCAAGTGAATTTGTGTGAATGGATGGCAGAACAGGGAGAAAGAGGGGTGGCAAATAGTCAAAAGTTATTTAGGGCAACAAAAGACATGGAGTTGTAGAGAGCCATAATCAGCTACATAAAATATCTATAAAAATGAGAGGATCATTTATATATATCTATATATATTCTGCTTAGGGTTAGTGTATTATCTGTGCACACTGTGAAAAATGTTAGAAACAATATATATACATATATATATATATATATATATATATATATATATATGGCCTGAAAAGTTTGCATTAACGTATGAAACAGAATGTCGCTGCTTGGTGTTGGCCTCGATGACTACTTTTATATTTACATATGGTCTATCCTGGATATCAAGCACTTTTACCCATAAATATAACATACCTTAAAACTATATTTTCATCATATACACGGTGCGATGGGTAAATTGTTGCCATTTTATATTTTTGATTTTGTGCATCTGCAATTTTTTTTCTTTTTGTTGACGCACAGTATATTACCTTCAGTTGGGCACCATCTATGAGAAAAGGAGGACCATGACACAATTCACTCCGCCAGAAATTTGGAAACGGCATGCTGCACTGCTTGGCATTAGTGCTGGAACCGCCAATATAAATATTTCAGAGTGTTTGGTTGTCAATCTGAGGACAGTGCAGAGGATTCAGAAAGTGTTGTATGAGCTTAATGGCGATTATGAAGGTATGGCAACTTGGAAAAGTCACTCTAATTGTTCTGATAAGAAAAGAATTCCATTCATCTTCCCACAGGACTTCAGACTTAACATGGAGGCCAACATCATACCTTGAGGAGGTCATGATGCCCTGGGTCAAGAGGGTGGCTTGTGGAAGACACTATGTTTGGCAACAGGACTTTGCAGCATACCACATAAGCAGGAGAACCCATGTCATGGCTGCTAGACAATTTCTGCAGCCACATCACACCTTACATCTAGCCATCTGCAACACCCTTGATCATTATGTGTGGGGTGCAGTTGAGCGAGAGACCAACAAAACTCCTTGTAACACCAAAGATGAACTGAAGGATAGGATTATGGAAGCATTCACCAACTCAAACAAGGAGACCGTCCAGAAGAGTTGCTGGAGATTCTGAAGTCATCTGGAAGCTGTGGTTGAAACCAATAGTGATTTTATTGAATAAATTTACTCTTTATTATTTCAAGTTATTTTTGTGTAATTTTGGTAAAATAAGAAATGAGATGTCAGAGTTATTTTCATTTTTGCATAATTTAGATGACAATTTATACATTGCACACTGTATATGTAGAATTTATACAAAAAAGTTTTCACTGAGTTGATTGATGTTATATTCATCACTTCAACTTTAGCATTTCCTAGATTGACTTTTTGTAATTGCTCAGTCCACCCTTCAGGAGGATTCAGCAATTATATACATACATTATATACATGATGATTGTCGCTTCTTTGCAGAAGAAGAACATCTCTTCACTTGGTAGTTTTTATTGTATTTTTCATTCAAACTTTTATCATTTCCCCTCATTTTTAAACAAGCTATTGCTCTGCTATGGGCCCATAAGTGATTCTTAAGGCCAGCTTAACTTTTACAAACTCTCTTACATGGCAAACATAAAGTTTGTCTGTATACTACCTATGTTGGAAACTTGCCTGTCCCTGTGCACAATCATGTGATGTTTGAATCCTGCAACAAATTTACAAACCTTATTGCAAGACTCACATGAGTAACCTGCAGGTCTTTCTGGTAGGGTTGCATTTGCTGGGGTTTGCACCTGACCTCTCTAGTGTGATCTCATGTGATTGGCAAAACCAGCCACAGAGAGGGTGACTTTTCCACAAATACTGCAAGTGTGTTGGTGTCCTAATAGCTCTGGGACAGGTTCTATTTCTTCCTTTCTAAGGGTACACTCTTTGTTGGTATGCTCAATTGACTTCTACTCAGAATTGTTGCAGTGTTCCCATATCGACCTTTTCTAGCCAGATCTGTCTCCAGCAACAGTTTCCCAGTTTTCAACATTAACGCCAAGAGTTACATTTAACTACATCATTGAAACGTTTTTCAGGCTTATGAGCGGGTTGATTACCTTGTACTATCTCACCATTAAAAAGTCTTTTGTGCAATCTGCCATCCTCTATATGTGTGAGGTGACCTTTCCAGCACATTTAATTACTGAGAAGTAGTTTCTCTATGCTGGCTATGTTTGTGCAGTGAAGAACTTTTGTGTACAAGACTGCCAATTGGCACTGCTAGTGAAAACATTCTAAGACCTTAATGTACCTTCAATACGTGGTTCACACTTTAGTGGAATATAAAAGGGTGGTTATGACAACTGTTTTGTAGATGCTGGAATATATACAAACATATATATTCGAGAAATCATATGCACTATCCAGATTTGTTTACATTAGGATATGAAATTAAGCAGATATGTCTATTTTCAGAGTCAGAGAAAAATCTGTGCTTAAATGCAATATTCATCTTTGCTTGGTCATTGACCCACTCTGATGCTGAGAAGTCAAAGCATGTCAGATCTAATCACAGTTTCTTTAGGGGAATACAGGTTTAAATCCTGTCGGAGAGCGCATATTTTTCTCTAATAAGATTGCTTGAATATTTAGGAAGGTAGGCAAAAATAAATAAATATATTGTTTAATAAATAAATGGAGCATCAACTAAAATACAGGTATCCACTAAAAAATTATGTTTAAGTAATAAAGAATTCGTCAGATTAATAAATAAAAATCCATCCTTTTCTTCACGCACATACACACACACATAAAAGGTTAATGATCAGAGTTGAAGAAACCAACCAGGAAACAGTAGTATTAAAAAGTGCTCAATACACACGTAAAAAAATAAAATAAAAATAACATGCAGAGCTTTTAAAAATCAGGAGGTCAGTTGAGAATACGCGACCTTGGTTTCCACTTTACAGTCTCATTAGGTGATTTTTTATCAACTGTCCACCTAACGCCTTTTATTTAAAAAAACAAACAAAAAAAAAACAAAGAATGCTACATTATTATTTTCAAAAATAAATAAACAAACGCACGACGATCAAACACATGGCATTAGGTTAAGTGTAATAAAAAGGAAGAAGATGTGGCTGATGCTAACTTCCAGGAGAGGAACACCTGTAGCAGACCCCCGTATCACAAAAGGGTGATGAGGTCACAAGAGGCCCGCTAACATTTTTGAAGACATTAAATCTTATAAGGTGAAACAACATAGGCGACAAAACGAGGATATATATGATATATGCTAATTTATTCAAGAAAAAGAAAAAGGTGGTCAGAACGGTAGAGATGCAGATGTTCCGGTGCAGGCATTGATGGTCGAGGTTGGTTGTTACAGGTGATCGCTGCAGTTGAAGTTGATGTTGGTCGTTGCCGCGTTACAGATGATCGCTGCTGGTCATGCAGGTGGTCGCTGCTGGTCATTGCAGATGATCACTGTTGGTTGTTGCAGTTGATGTTGGTTGTGGCCGGGATGCCAACTTGACGTGTTGGGAAGGAACTTAATACGCAGCCTGGTGGTCGACGTTCCTGGCCGGAGCCTGTTCTCTTAGTTTAAGGAGCGAAGGAGGAGGTAACTCCGACACACCTTGCGACTTCTTGGACTCATGTTTTCCACTGACATAAAGTTGAGTGATAATACTCTATCAATTGCTATGTCTACTGCTAGGAAGCTTGGTTTGCCATGTCATGCCAGAGAATTTTCCTTGTCAGAATCCCTCTTGCACATTTTTAGATCTACCATTCCACCATGGATAGAATCCTGCTGGTGCTCCTACTATATACCTCAAGATTTTTGACTAAATTCAAAGAATGGTCTTTAATGTAATTGATCATGGCCATCTTGACTTCAGCCACTTTCTCACTGATGTCACATGGCTTCCCTCTAGCCTTTCTACAAATATTTTTCATGGCAATTGTTCTGATGAGCTGTTCTCCTTAGTGCCTTGACTTCATGGATTTAAACGTGCTACTAGATTGGCAACTAGGTTTCGCCATATGATTAAAAAAAAAGGGGAAAAAGTAAATTATGGAGGATGCAAATGAGGTAATTTAATGTCTAATCAATGAAAGTGAGTAAATAATGTTGTTAATTTTTTTTATTTAATAGTTGCATTACTTTATTTTGGAATTAATTTATGCATTATATATTTATAAATAAATACCCTTGAAAAAGTATGAATCCATCTCTTCTTCCCCCAGCTATGGGTTAAATAGCAGGACAGACTGGGCTCTTTAGCCTTGGTTAGCAACCAGTCTGTTGCAGAAAGAAACAGCAGCCTACTGCAGGAAAAATCTTCTGCCTCGTCAGTCATGTATCGAAAAATATATGACTGCCCAAGTGTGTATCACATGTGGCACTTACTGACTTAGTATATATTTTAAATAGCAGAATGTTATGTATTTAACCATTTTCTTTTAATTTTTAACATTTTTATAGTCATGTATGTTGGCTTGGGAAAGGAGTCCTCTCCATTCTTGAGTGAACATTTAAAAATTTTATAACATTCTTATTTAATTTGTGTTTTGTTTTGTTTTTTTTGTTCCAGGCTTTGGTTGTCATTGGTACCATCTTGTTTGCTATATACTGCTACTTATATTTTGAGAATGTCCATTTCCATGCAATCAATGCCTATGCCCATCTTGGATATTCAGAAGCCCAACATCAGGTCGGACAAAGATATCTACATGGTATGTTTCACAGTTAAGTACAGATATAACTGCAAGAATTTAATTGTTTTTGCACAAACCCAAAACAAATGTTACATTTCTTAACAATAAAATACCTATATCTTTCTTGGTAACAAAAAATAAAGAACATGGCTGAATGGAATAAGAATGGTATATATACTGTATATTTCCACGTATAAGGCAACCTAGATAAGATGAGGACCAAATCTAGGTAAATTTTCATGATTTTATCTGATATCTGTAGAGTAGACTGACTGGGACCTATATGACGAAACTGTAAATGAATGTGTTTATGACAAGCTCTTTGCATCAGATGATGATGATCATAGTAATTTGAAGGGTTTTAATTATGTATGTGGATGTCTTATGTTTTTATTCTGTAATGAGAAATACAGATTTTATGTTTTATTGCTTGACACTACAAAATAAAAACCGTATAATGTAGATTATTGAAAAATAAAGTCTGTATGTTATACTAAATGTTGCTGTTATTTAACACCACAATAATAATGAATTTTAATTAGAAATCTAGATTGTATATTATCCTGAATGTTGTTATTTAACACTATGAGAAATAACGATTGGTGTGAATGCACCATAGCTCTACAAATCAAGAACGAAAGATATGTCTACATTACTTGTTATTCGTATGTGTTGCTCAGTGGAACTTTTGCAAATTGTTGCGTAATTGTCTCATGAATATTGCATTTTAATGTGAAATCAAAAAGTAAATAAAAATAGTTTATATTACATTTATAACTGTAATACAGCATTATAATGTGAATTGTTTCAACTAGAAATATTTACATCGGTAGATGCCACACTGAGGCAGTTGTTAGCCTATTGTAATCCATGGTGCAAGCACACTAGTCTACTTATCAGTGCCGATATATCACAGGATTTGAGGTTAGCTTTTTGTAACTGGTATTTTTCTGGGGGTAATTTTTAAGATTTAAAAGTCGACTTATACATGGAAATATACAGGTATATATAATATATATATGGAAATATATAGGGTATATATATATATATATATATATATATATATATATATATATATATATATATTTTTCAATCATTTTACCCCATACAAGGCAATAAAGCCACTAAGATGCAAGGAGTTACTGATCATGAAAGAATAAGAAAAAAAAGAAAAACATTATTAAGAAGATAGGACAATAAAAGAACAGGATTTTAAGAAACCAGAAGATAATGATTGACATTACATATAAAATTTAGAAGATCAAATTTTCCTGGAAAGTAAAAAGGTAGAAGAAAGTTCCATGCTCACTCCGTCCATAGAATTTTCAGTATCTTTTTTGTAGTACCATATTTCTGTTTTCCCTCATTTGTGAGATTTTCCGGTTTTCACTGCCATATAAAATGATGGATATCACATAACAATTTAGCAATTTAATATTTCTAAAAGCTTTGAAAACATAATTTCTTTCGGAAATTAGTCATATTCATTGAAAGCAGATAAAAATACATAAGAAAATTATATTTTTCTACATATCCAATATTGCAATATTAGCGAAGATACAAATGTTTTGTCAAGGGAAGTAACTAAGAAAAAATAATTAGAAATTGCCTCCCTTAGATATAAAGATCGCTTAGTTTCCAGCATCATGTGTAAACAAAATATTTTTACTAAAAAGACCCGTGAAAATTTAAATTTTTTAATGAATCTTAATTCTTAACTCTTGGGTTAATGATTGAGTAAATTCATCGTGAGTTCCATGACAATTAAAGTATCTCTATAAATTTCCCTATCGCATATCATTAAATATTTAAGCTTAACTTTAACAAAATACCAATATGAATGCTGGTCGTTATTTTAAGAAGTGGCTACAAATGAAAAGATTTGAAATTGACGAAATTCACTGAAATAGCCGTTAAAATACTTTTACTTCCCTTCTTTCTTTCTTTCTTTTTTCTTACTTTCTTTCCTTTTTTCGATGAAACCAAGTAGTGTCTTTTCCCCTCTTTTCACACGATCAAAACGGAATATAGACCATTATTTATGAGGTATTGGCAGAAGACGTTAAGCATTTTTATCTTTCCTTATTTCTTTCTTTCATTCTTTCCTTCTTTCTTTCTAGCCAAATCCCCATCTTACGAACATTTCTCTTAATAATAATTTTAAAATAATTCAGCAGGCGATGTTACTTAATTTATAGTAATTAGATTTTTGGCGATCGTCGTTCGATAATCTGCGTTTGAAAAATGACGCTTTTACTGCTTCTCGGGCTTTTGGATGAAATCAATGTATAGTATCTGTTCTTATCAGCTTAATGTTATTACAGTGAGCGTCTAATAATGCATTTAATGTGTTGTCCCGTTTGTATGCTTATAAACTTTTATTTAATTTCCTTGAAGTTTCTCTTATGTATTCCTTGTAGCAATTATTACGGGTGCTAGAGTAAAACTGTCTTTCAAGATTTAGCATATTATTTCATTAAATCTTTTATTGTTTTAACAAATTTTATGTTAAACTAAGATATAACATTTCTCAAGGAATTTAAATAAAAGATTATATGAAGACAAAAGGGATCTTTTACAAAGCAATACATTCAATGCATTAGTTATTCACTGTCATGTATCTGACCATAATTTTGATTTACAAAATGCTACTCTAATTAAAAGAGGAAGCAATTTACTAAAACGAAAATATATAGAAAGTGCTTTAATCTCTAGATCAGCCACTATAAATTTACGTCCAGGTTCTTAAAACATTTCACCTTTCTTAGCAGATCTATTATTGCAATGTGAGATATTTAATAACAAATGTGATGATATACAGCTGAAAAAAAGATAATGCTAAAACAGCATTTCTCGCTTGTGAAACTCTGTTCCGATTTTTTGCTTCACAGTCAAAATTTAAATGCAATGACATTCGTTATCTTCCGTCTTCTTAATTTCTGTTCTTTTATCGTTCTCTCTCCTTAATGTTTTCTCATATTCTCTAGCACTCAGTAACCCCTTGCGTCTTAGTGGCTTTATTGGCTTGCTTGAGATGAAATTTAAAAAGAAAAAAAAAATACTTGCATTAAAAAAATCCTTGCCTTTCATTATAATGAAAACGTCAACACAAAATTAGTTGTCCCCGAGGAATGTGATAGATATACAAATATACTCGAAGTGGTGTAATAGTTAGCAAGCTTGTCTTGCTAGAACAATTGCGACTGAGTAGTGAGTTCGATTCTCAGTGGGTGCCCCCTACTTTCGACCTTGTGCCACATCTAAGCTATGCTTGGAAAATTAATATATTCTCTAACACTCAGTAAACCCCACCCGCGTCTTACTAGCTTTATTGTCTTGCTTAGTTTGAAATGACTAAAAAAATTGAAATCGGCCACACTATATATCCAAAACATAATAAATAATAATTTTAAAATTCTCAGTATCCCCTGAAATAAATTAAAATGGGAAAACCGTGATATTATTCAGTACAATAATATTTGTGTGTGTGTGTGTGTGTTTTTTTTTTTAGTTTTTTTTTTAATATTTTTTTTTCTCTGAAATGGTTTAACTATTTTTCTTTGTGTCTGGCAGGTATTGGTGTCAGTGCCCATCCCGAAAAGGCAATGGAATGGTTTAAGTAAGTAGTCATTCTTATTTTCTGTTGGTGATGACAAATACACAGGGCCGGTGTGTACTATCCCCGAACACCTCAACCGGGAGTGTCGAGCCAGATTGGGGTTCTAACGTACTGCTTTGCGTTTTTTTTCTACCTACATTTAAAAACGTTACAAATTAAACTAAGCACAACTGACTATTAAAGGATGAAAAATTTTCGCGGACTTTGGCATTCTGCGGACTTTTCTTTCGTTCAAATCCGTGAATTTCATTTTGAAATAAACACTATATAAAATTCACATTCTTTATTCATAATGTTGGATGTGTTAAAATTCTCCAACTTTTTAACAAGAAAAATCTCCAGTTGATGTCAGAAATTGCCACAAAACATTGTTGATTTATTTAAGATCTCTTATGACATCTCATAATAGTATTGCATTTAGTATTGTATTGTATTTAAATACTATTGCATTGTATTTAGATTTATTTTCAATTTGTCTAGTCGACTTGTTCACCTATATTACATGTGATCAATTACTGTACATTCTAAGATTACATTACACCGGCCCTGTAAGTACAAGTAGGTAAATGTGAAATCAAGAAAATAAAATATAGTGATTTTATTGAATAAATGCACTCTTTAGTATTTCAAGGTATTTTTATGAAATTTTGATAAATATATCTGGTAAAATGAGGTATTATGGGCATTATTTCATTTTTGCGTAATTTAGACGACAATTTATCCATCGCACGTTGTACAACTTGGTCCTACAGCAAACGGACAAATCAATCCCCACATTGCATTTCGCAAATTGATCGTGACGACCAGTACAAAGACTGGAAAAGATTCATGGTACATTCACAAGGAACGGAAAATGAAATCAGCAAGAAATGAAGACACGTATCTTGTTCTCAACAATTTGGTGTTTATTTCAATAAGGTTCGCAGTCGAGCGTAATAATTCTCTCTGGTGGCAGGTAGCTTGGTGGCACATCAGTCCCTTCGGTCCTTACTTTTACTCCCGCCTCTCGACTACTGCCAACGTGATTGGTTCGACAGGCGGATTCTCTCTCTGTTCAGCCCGAACTGGGACTTCACTTATATTAGGTTGTCACACATGAAATGACGCACGTTAAAAGAAAATTAAGAAAACGCTTCTGAAATGTTAAATAACTAATTCATTTAGGTGAAATCATCACCATTTTGATGAATGATTGTTCTCCAACATACCTCTAAATTCTTGATCCCATCTTTAAAAAATTCTCATTCTTTGATGTGATAAACAATTCAAACATTTCGATTAACTCTTTCCTATTGGAGAATGTTTTATTGCGTATGACAGGCTCAAAATGCTTAAATATGTGATAATCAGTAGAAGAGATAACAGGTGAATATATAGGATGAGGCAAAATTTCATAATTCAGGCTATGTAGCTTTTGGACAGTTAATTGAGAAGCGTGCGGCCGTGCGTTGTTGTGCAGCAAAATTGGGCTATCCCTATTCACAACTCTAGGATGTTTCTTTTTCAGTTTTTCGTGCATACACTCAATTTCTCCAAAATACGAGGTTGCTGTTATTGTTTACCTACGAGAAAAGAATGAATAATGAATAACCCCTTTGAAAGACCACCATACAGTAACCATTAATTTCTTAGGGTGCAGTGGAGGTTTGGGGGTTGTTTTAGTGATTCATTTGCATCTAACCACTGGCCTACTCACTTACTGTTGTCAAAGAGCATCCATTTACTCATGGCATATAATGATTCGAATGGTTACTTCTCGCTAATCGAGAGAGAAGTCTAGAAAGAGAAAGAAAGAGATAAAGGTTTTAAAGGAAAGCGCAAATGCCTTATTTTAATTTGAATTCTTTTTATTTTTGTTTATATATTTTATTTTATTTTTTATCTAAACTCACTACAAACATATACTGAAATAGTTAACCCACAAAGATCAGTCATCTTAGTCTGGATTCCATGTCATGTTGGTATACCGGGCAATGAAATAGCAAACAAACGAAAGACGTCTTCAACATAACAACAAGCAACATAAAGATACCCCAAACTTCAAATGAAAATGACCAGCAATATGGGACTTAAAGCCTAACAAAGTATGCGATATTCAACCAACTATAGGAGAAAGGCTCCAAGAGGAAATAGTTTTAGCAAGACTCAGAAATACACATCTGACACACTCACATGTACTAAAAACATGAAACTCTTGCAACAGATGTCAAGTATCTCTTACAGTTGAGGTACTTGAACAGTTGTACAATATACTCATGAGTTGACATGTTATGTTTCGTGGTTATTGAACAATAACTAAAGTCGGTATTTGTTTAACAATATTTATTTCTTACATACCGGTTGCACATTTCTCTGTCTCGTCATCTATTATGAAAAAAGTCCTAGCACTCTTCTTGTTTGCTGTTTCCGGCGCATGCGTGTTGGGGCCCTTGCTTACTTTCGTTTTTTCTTACTATATGTAACATCTATCTTTCTCGAGAAGTTCTGCTTTCCTCTCTTTTTTTTTATCTAAGCCTCATGGGTGATAGCATGTTTTTTCTCTATCTTGTTGATATTGTCAAGCATGTATCCTGTGGTAGTTGTGTGTATCTGTCGGTAATTGGGAATCGTAATTGTCTGCTTGTTGAATGGAGTTGTCTTCTCTTAATGTGATAAAGCTCATCTGAATGTTTGTTTTGTTTTTTGTATCTTGTTTCTTCTAGTGTTAGTCGAATATGTGTCCTGTTTCGTGTGATGTTTTCCGGATTCTAAAAACGAAAAATAATAATAATAACAGTCTGGTGCAAGGGAAATAATTAAAATTGAAAATGGCAGGGGATTTAAGATTTAAAAATACACTCAATGCATTAATAATGTGCTACTTCATGTTCTCAATTTCAACATGGAAAATACCGTTGTAATAAAACAAATCATATAATAATTGTGCTTGTACCTCTCTTCATTAGTTCTGTAGTTTGCAGGACCGTTACACCCTGCCAATGCCTAATAAATAACGAATTATTCCGTTTTGATTGCGTGGAAAGACTCTACTTGGTTTCAGTGAAAAAGAAAAAAGTAAAAGAGAAGTGTTTAACGTCTCCTGCTAATACCTCATAATTAATGGGCTATTTCGTTTTCATCGCGTGAGAAGACAAAAGATATATCAAAGACACTACTTGGTTTCAGTGAAAAAATGAAAGGGAAGATAGAATTGTTTAACGCCCGTTTATGTGAAAGGGGAAAAACCTTGTCAATTTCTTTACTTCTTACTTCTTTAAATAACGACCAGCATTCATATTTATGATTATTATTGTAATATTTTGTTAAAATTATTAAGCTCAAATATTTAACGATGCGATAAGGGAATTTCTACAGATATTTTATTATAGTAAAACTTGTCATGAGTCTATTAAATAGTTGACTAAATAATTAAGTTTCATCAAAAATTTAAAAATAGTAAAACCGGGAAATTTTCACGTGTTAAAACTGGTGGATATAATTTACTAAAAACGAAGATGCATTGAAAATGCCATGAGCTACGAATCCCCTACGATTAATATACGGCCGGCGTATTTCCGTTTATCGCCTGTTCTAACTAAATTAGGACTGAATCTAGATACTTAAACCTTTTAAATAAATCAAAATAAAGGCTGAGTTAAAATTAGTTAAAATGTAATTTCTATAAAAATAGAGATTTTTTTAAAACTAGTTTTTTAATCAATTCACCCCAAGCAAGGCGATAATGCCACTAAGACACAAGAGATAAAACACTACTCCTGTTTAAAAAACCAAGGAGGAGTGTGAACCGGACGACAGGCGAACTTAAAATCAAGCATCGAGTGGTATAACGTGTTGTTTCGCTAATGTAGATTTTTTCGGAGACAAAATGGTCCACCCGTAAAACATAGATAAACTATTTTTGCAAATAATTTTCGTTGATCATTTTTTTGTTGTTGTTTTTGTTTTCTTTTAATCAGTTAATCCAAAGCAAGGCGATAAAACTACTAAGATGCAAGGAGGGAGTTACTGGGAGTAAAAGAGAATAAAAATACTTTAGAAGGATCTGGAAACTAAATCCTAAACAGGAAACAAGGAATAAAATCTACTCCTGTTGAAAAGTCTGGGGAAGAGTGTGAACCGGGCGATAGGCGAATCTATCTAGTGACTAGTGTTATGCTGAGTTGGAACGACCAGAAAAGGTTGTACTTAATTCATTGCTAGCTATAATGGTAGAGCTTAAGTTAGCCTTGCGCTGAGTTGGAACAACCAAATTAAAACTTCATCTGTGGAGTTTCCGCAAAACACGTGCGAACGCTATGCATTGGAAAGTGGAAGAGAGTTTCTTTTCCCGCTTCAGAAGTAAGTTTGGACAAGTCATGATAAGCATGGTTATAATGGTGGAGATTAAGTAAGCCATGCGCTAAGTTCGAATGACCAAAGAAAAGGTTGATTTACTTCATAAGCGTGGGTTTAGGATGAAACGTGCGAGCATTTATGAATTGGAAAGTGGAGAGAGAGTTCAGTTGTCAGTAGAGCGAGGAAACGAACGTGTCTCAGCGGAGAAGACCTTTTCCATGTTCTGATGTATCTTGGAGCAAGAGGGAGAAAGAGAGAAAGGAAGGAAATATTTGCCTTCTTATAGAACTTAAGGCCAACTAAAGCGCGTTTGTCAAAGCCAAGATATGGGATTTATAACATTTCCGGTTCCTTTATTACTAGAGTCACGGGAAAATGTATTTCTTTCTCTTTTCTTTTTTTTTATTCATTATTTTTATTTTATTGATTTTATTTAAATTTCCAACAATCCCGAAAAACGATGTCAATTTTGACCTGGATACAATATATTCATGGTAGCTGTAGTAGATATTCTGGAAGAATTTTGAAAGTTTTCAGCTATCATGTGATGTAGTAACACTCATACCAGTTCACCGTCTGTGTCTGAACTTTACACATTGACAAAATTCAGTGTGGTGAAAGTATTCATTTCAAGCATGTGTCCTGTCACAGAGACGTACAAAAGT